CGTAGTGATACTGCCTCGGAAACCCAAGGAGGGGTCTCTATGAGTCGGGGCCGACTCGATGGCAAATAACAACAATAACAACAACAACAACTTGAAATGTTTGTTCCTATAAAAAGTAACTTATTTATATTTAAATACTCTTTATACTGAACATTGTTTTATAATAATTTATTTTGATGTGTGGTAGATATGAATATCTGTGCTAGTTAATTATTTAAAGGAGCATGAAACTTTGTTAAAAGTAGTCAAAATACTGGCATTCCTTGGTTTTAAATTCAGTAAGTCTAAGTTCCATAGCATCGAACATTTAATCTTTCTGATGGATTTATTTAACTTTATTATCAAATACAATTCATCTAATTAATAAATATTATTTCAATGTACTTATCTGTGAGTCACTATGATAGATGAAGGGTATATAATGGTATTTATGAAACAAATATAATTTGTCCACATTTACAACTTATAATCTAATTTATATATAAAAAGAGAGAAAGACAATAAATAGTAAATTCACAATATACTTCCTAAACACAGTTTATAAAAAGTGCTAAGAAGCAAATGAGTACTGTAATAAAGAATGTTTGGATGAGGCATAACTATTTGTCTGATTGACATGCTAGTTGAATATTAATTGAGAAATGAGCCAAAAATATGAATAGTAAGTAGTATGGTGCTTGAAAGAGACTTGTTAAAATGTTGGGGTATAATGAGTGAAATGAAGAGACAAAATTTATACAGAAACATCCAATGTGAAATCATTTTAAAAAGTTAGTGACAGTGCAGAGTAGCAGAACACTTCGTATTATTTCACTTTGGTAACAGTATTGTGATGTACTCTCATCCTTTTAATTATTATGAGAAAAATTATTCAAAATTTCAAATTTCTCTACACCATTTAATTAATAATACAGTAAATATAAAATAATCAATGCATAGTTTAAAAAGAATATAGTGTGTGCATACTTTGAATGAAAACATAGGATGTAGAAAAAAATAGGTTGTGAAAGAGGTATCAACTCCTGTTAACCAGTAATTACAGAGTTTAAAGGCAAGGGAAAATCCAGTGTCAGAATTTGAAATGGTGTTAAACCAAAGCAGAACATGAGAGATGATATTTGGACCAAACATCAGGTTCTTAGATACTATGTAGAAACCAGAAGCTGGACTTTTAATACCAGCTCAGGAAAAGAAGACATGATCTTGAACTTCCATAAGTGTTGGCATGCAACAGAAATGATCAAAAAACATTATCAATCCTCTATTTATAGCATACAAGAAGGAGAGAAGATACAAATAATTAATGCAAAATGAAAAACAAAATCTAATATCAGTTATTAGGAGTTCTAGAAGTGTAGTGGGTAAGGCATCTTGTTGCTAACCAGGTCAATGGTTCAAACTTGTCCTCCAAGCAGGAGGACAATGAGGCAATTTACTGCTATAAAGATTTAAAAGCTTGAAAATCCAATGGGGTTATTATGAGTAGGAATTGACTTGATGGCAGCTTTTTTTTTTTTTTTTTTTAATAACAGTTGCCAGAAAGAGAGTATCGCTACACATACTACAGATTACAAATAGATATGTTGTATGTGTATATGTTTACACACAATGCATTTAAACATTAGTAAATATAAATTAATCCACTGCCATTGAGTCAATTACAATTCACAGCAATGCCCATTGGGTTTCCAAGGCTGTAAATCTTTGGGGAACTAGATTGCCTCTTCTTCCTCCCATGGAGCAGTTGGTGGGTGTGAACTGCTGAACTTCTGGTTAGCAACGAAATACCTTACCCATTATGCCACAAGAGCTCCTTAAATCTAAATTATCTCATATGAATAGCAGAGGGAAAATAGCTTGGAAAAATTAACAGAGGTACAGAGAATTTTAGGACAGTAACAAAATATCTGACATTCATCAATGTCCCAGTAGAGGAGGAGAAAGAGTGCCAAATCAAAACCAAACCCACCACCAAAGAGTTGATTACAACTCATAGTGGCCCTATAGGACAGAGTAGAACAGCCCCACAGGGATTCCAAGGCTCCAAATCTTTAAGAAAGTAGCAACCCAATGCAATGCAGTGCCGTCAAGTCAGATCTGACTCATAGTGACCCCTCCTCGGGTTTCTGAGGCACTATCACTATGGAAGTAGATTGCTTAACCTTCTTTACAGGGAGTGGATGGGTGGGTTTGAACAGTCAAGCTTCTGGTTAGCAGTCAAATGCTTTAGGCACTACCCCACCAGAAAGTAGACTGTCATATTTTTCATTCGTGGAGCACCAAGTGGTTTTGAATCAGCTCACCCTTTCATTAGTAGCCCAATGCTTTAATCACTACACCACCACAGCTCTAGAAAGATGCAAAGCTAAAAAAAAATATTTGAAGGAAAAATGGTTGAAAAGTTCTCAAATTTTGCAAAAGACAAAGCTACAAGTTTAATAGATTTAGCAAACTTCTAACTGAAAAAATTCAAATAAATACATGGCCAAATATATAATAATTAAATAACTGATAAGTAAAATATAATGAAAATAATTTATTTTTGTCTTATGACAAAGGTTTCTCATAAGAAATAATAGTGGACAAAGAATGTGGCACTATATTTTTCAAATGCTGAAAGGTAAAAACCATCAACTCACAACTCTACATACAGCAAAAATATTCCTAGGAAAGAATAAAGAACAATAAAATGAAGACATTCTAAAGTGAATTAATCACTTGTCTGTCAGTATGTGGTACTGTGTTGGCATGTATGTTGCTATGAGGCTGGAGGCTATGCCACAAGTATATCAAATATCAGTGTGGTTGCCAGTGGTGGTCAGGTTTAGCAGAGCTTCCAGACTAAGACAGATGCAGAAGAAAGAAGGGGCCATCCACTTCTCAAAACTTTGGCCAGTGAAATCCTTATGAAACACTGTCTGATATATTACTAGAAAACCTTATTAATAGCCCAGAAACATTGTCTGATATAGTGCTGGAAGATGAGCCCTTCAGGTCAGAAGGCATTTAAAATACAACTGGAAAAGAGCTGGCTCCTCAAAGTAGACCTGACTTTAAAGACATGGATGGAGTAAAGCTTTTGGAGCCTCCAGTTGCTGATGGGCCATGACTTGAAATGGAAAGAAATAACTGCAAACATCTATTAATAATCAAAATGTGGACTGTATAAAGGATACATGTAGGGAAATTGGAAGTTGTCAAAAATGAAACGGAATGCACAAAGATTGATATCCTAGGCATTAGTGAGCTGAAATGGACTGGTTTTGGCCATTTTGAATCAGACAATCATATGCTCTACTATGCTGGGAATGACAAATTGAAGAGGAATGGTGTGGGATTCATCCTCACCAAGAATGTTTCAAGGTCCATCCTGAAGTACAATGCTGTCACTGACAGGGTAATATCCAAACACCTATAAGGACAACCAGTTACTACTAGTATTCAAATTTATGCACCAACCACCAAAGCCAAAGACAAGGAAGTTGAACATATTTACCAACTTCTGCAGTCTGAAATTGACCAACATGAAATCAAGAGGTATTGATTATTGCTAGTGATTGGAATGTGAAAGTTGGAAAAAAAGAAGAATCACTAGTAGGTGGAAAATATGGGCTTGGTGATAGAAATGATGCCAGAGATCCCATGATAGAACTTTGCAGGACCAATGACTTATTCATTAGAAATACCTTTTTCAACAACATAAATGGTGGTTATACATGAGGACACAGGAATCAGATTGACTATGTCTGTGGAAAGAGTTGATGGAGTAGACAGAAGCTGACTATGGAACAGACAATCAATTGTTCACATGCAAGTTTAAGTGGAAGCTGCTGGAAATTAAAACAAGTCCACAAGAGCCAAAATATGACCTTGATTATACCCCACCTGAATTTAGAGACCATCTGAAGAACAGATTTGATGATGGAAGCCAACAACTGAAAACCAGATGAATTGTGGGATGACATCAAGAACATCATCCATGAAGACATGAAGAAAGCAAAAGGTCATTAAAAAGAGAGGAAAGAAAGAAAAGATCAAAATGTATGTCAAAAGAGACTCTGAAACTTTCTCTTGAATGGAGAGTAGCTAAAGCAAATGGAATAAATGACAGGATAACAGAACTCAGCAGAAGATATCAAAGAGCAGCTCGAGAAGACAAAGCCAAGTATTATAAAGAAATGTGCAAAGACCTGGAGTTAGAAAACCAAAAGGGAAGAACACACTCAGTATTTCCCAAGCTGAAAGAACTGAGAGAAAAAAAAATTCAAGTCTTGAGTTGCCATATTGAAAGATGTTATGGGTGAAATACTGAGTGATTCCGGAAGCATCCAAAGATCATGGAAGAAATACACTTAGGTACCCACTAAAAAGAATTGGTCTATGTTTATCTATTTCAGGAGGTGGAATATGATCAAGACGCAATGGTACTGAAGGAAGAAGTTGAAGCTACCCTGAAGGATATGATGAAAAACAAGGCTCCAGGAATTGATGGAATACCCTTTGAGATGTTTCAACAAAGGGATATCATGTAGGAGGCACTTACTTGTCTATGCCAAGAAATTTGGAAGACAGCTACCTGGACAAGTGACTGGAAGAGATCCATATTTGCACTCATTAAAAAGAAAGGTAATCCCATAGTATGTGGAAATTATCAAACAATATCATGAATATCACAAGCAAGTAAATTTTTGCTGAAGATAATTCAAAAGTGGTTGCAGCAATATATTGACAGGGAACTTCCAGAAATGCAAGCTGGATTCAGAAGAAGATGTAGAATGAAGTTATCATTTCTGATGTTAGATGAGTCTTGGCTGAAAGAAATGAATACTGGAAAGATGTTTAGTTGTGTTTTATTGACTATGCAAAAGCATTTGACTATGTGGATCATAACAGATTTTGATAACATTGACTAAAATGGGAATTCCAAAACACTCAATTGTGCTCATGAGGAATCTGTGCATAGATGAGGGGGTTATCATTTGAACAGAAGAAGGGGATAATGCATGGTTTAATAAACAGGAAGGGAGTGTGTCACAGTTGCATCCTTTCACCATACTTAATTCAATTTGTATGCAGAGCAAATAATCCGAGAAGCTGGACTATATGAAGAAGAGTGTGGAGGAAGACTCATTAACAACCTGTGATAAGCAGATGACATAATCTTACTTGCTGAAAGTGAAGATGACATGAAGCATTTACTGATGAAGATTAAACAGTACAGTCTGGAGTATGGATTACATCTTAATATAAAGAAAATTAATCCTCACAACTGGACCAAAATGCGGCATCATGACAAATGGAGGAAAAAACTGAAGTTCTCAAGGTTTTCATATTACTGGAATCCACAATGAACACCCATGGAAGCAGCAGTCAAGATATCAGACATCATCTTGCACTGGGCACATCTTTTGCAAAAGACCTCTTTAAAGAGCTGAAGAACAAAGACATCTCTTTGAAGACTAAGGTGCGCCTAACCAGCAATGGTGCTTTCAATCACCTCATATGCATGTGAAAGCTGGACAATGAATAAGGAAGACCGAAGAAGAGTTGATGCTTTTCAGTTGTGATGTTGGTGAAGAATGCTGAAAAGTACCAGAAGAATGAGCAGATCTGTCCTGAAAGAAGTGCAGCCCAAACGCTTCTTGGAATGACCTACTTTGGTCATATTGTCAGAAGGGACCATCCCCCCTGGAGAATGGTATCATATTTGGTAAGGAGGAGGATCAGAGAAAAAGGGGAAGGCCCTCAATGAGATGGATTCACAAAGTGACTACAATGATGGGCTAAGTTATAGCAAGGATCATGAGGATGGTGCAAGACCGTGCAGTGTTTCATTCTGCTGTACACAGGGTCACTATGAGTCAGAGCTGACTCAGCAGCACCTAATAATAACCACAACAAAGTGAAATAAAATTAATAGACTATGTTGTCAGCCACATAGTCGTGTAAAAGACTGACTACAGGAAGTTGTAAAAGAATGACTAAAGGAAGTTCTTCAGATAGAAAGGGAATAAAAATATAATTTGTAACATCAGGAATGATGAAACAGTAACAGAAAGAGTAAAACTATGGTAAAATAGAATAAAATATTCTTCCCCACTTGAGTTGCTTTAAAATTATTCTTCATAGTTTAAAAGAAAAATTATAATTTTGTGTTTGGTGGTGCTAAATGTACTTACAACTAATATTTAAAACAACTATATCATAAAGCAGGGGAGAGCTAGAAATCTAAACTGTGGTGGTAACATTTATACCAAGACTGATAAACAACATCACGATAAATGGAGAAAAAATTGAAGTGATTAATGATGTCATTCTACTTGGATCTGCAACCAGTGTTCATTGTTGTTGTTGTTGTTATGTGCTGTCGAGTCGGCCCCGACTCATAGCGACCCCTCCTTGGGTTTCCGAGGCAGTATCACTACGGAAGTAGGATTGCCCAACCTTCCTTCCGAGGAGTGGCTGGTGGGTTTGAACCGCCAGCCTTCTGGTTAGCAGTCAAGTGCTTTAGCCACTATGCTACCAGAGCTCCTCAGAATGGTATAAAAAGAACTTCTGAAAAAGGCATTTTTTTACCCTTTCTGTTCATATTATGTTCTTTGTTTACAATTTATAATTAAATTTCTGAGATTCAAATATTTTTATTCCAACAAAATAATAATATACAATTGGAGAAAAATATTTTTATAGACTACTAAGCAATTTTAAATAGTATTTATCAGCTATAATGTAACATTCAGAAAACAGAAATATAAAAAAAGATAAAAATTACATACCAGAGCAATACCTGCATCATAGCTTTTATTGCATATTGTTCCAGGAAATGTTGCTCCCACATATTTAGGACGTTTCCTGTAACTATATCATTATATTATTTCCTTTTTTATTAACATACAGAAAAACTTACTTAACTATTTACTAAAGTCTTCCTTCCATAAAATTTTATTAATTATTTTGCAAACATACAGGCTCTAAGCTGGAAAATATCTAGTAAGTTACGTAAAATATTCAAATCATGAAAAAGAGTATTTTATTTTCTTACTATCAATTTTATTTCCTTAGCTAAGTCTTAGCTTTGATGTATTTCAGATATCTCAGATTCTCCTCAGTTTGCCTTATATTTTGCCCTAAGCATTTTGGTTACTAAAGAGTAAAATAAATTTCTAATTTGTGGAAGAAGAAACCTTACTTGTCCTGAAAATAAACAGTTTTTTTTTTTAATTAAATATTTTATAAGCACACACACAAAGCCCTATTAGTCAAATAGCAGACATGAAAGGCAATAATACAATCACAGGTAATATTTACAGAATAGTACCAATGTTTACATCATTATTAAGAGTTTTATGTATTCAGTAATACAGTTGATATCATCAAAGTTAAATAAATGCAGTTTTTCACATAATATATACTCTTAAAAGATATTGTTATATAACTACTTTTTGCTATTATTTATTTTATTATATTTTTCCTTATCACCTTAATGGCAGTAGCTATATTTTATTTTAAATTTTCAAAGAATCCTTTAGAATATCAAACAACACAATAAATGTATTAATAACTGATTTAGTGGAATTATTTATGTATATCTACTTACTAATGCAGAACATTGTGCTTACACAAGTAAATATGCTATGTCATGGGGCTGTAGGATGAAATAGTCTTGTTTCCATGCCAAAAATCTTGCTAATATATCATCAACATCCCCACTGGTAGAAATTTGGTTCTTATCTGACCACAATTCCACGGAAGACAGTATAACAGTCAATTTGAACTGTGTAAACATCTAAAAGTAAGAGTAATGATACATGTATTGAAGCATGTATTACATCCAAATAGTGCATAAAAAAAGAAGAAAAGGTTCAGCTGAGTATTTTGTGTGTTAAAGTCGTAGAAACCTTTTAAGTCATTAATGTGTCATGATACAATGCAAATCACTTTAAAAGATTTTATGTAAAATTATAAATATGTATAAATAAAAACTTACAGTGTTAACAAGGCCAATAATCTGGACAACTTTCTGTGTTACAGTCATCATTTCAGATCCCATATAATCATACTGAAAAACAAATTTATGACTCTTTTAAAATCCAATTAATAACAATATTTTGGATGTTGAATATATCTTGATGGCAGAAGGCAGGAAAATGACAGGATTTGTCAAACAATTTATATAAAGATTATTATTTTTATAATAAAGAAAAGAAAAAGAAAGGACACTAAACATGGGGTAACCATCAGGAAAAAACAATGCAAAACAGAATCATACCTGGAACACTCAAAATAGATTTTTACTTGTTATATATGTTATAGGAACTGTCAAGCAGAAATAGTTAAACTCTTCAAGGGCCACTAAACAACTATTCCTACTAACTATAATGGAAAGCCTGGAGCTAGAATTCCCTGTGACATGGAGACAATCAAAGTATGTTTAGTGAATAAAAAAGAGTAAATAAATAAGGAAACAGAAAAAAAAAATGGAATGTAGACATCAATAAGAGAAAGCATAGCTAATACAATGATGTGTAGAGAAAACAATGTAGAATTAATTATTGAAAAGATTTCATAAAGAATAAGTAAAAAACTAATATAGTAAGTCAATATTATCAAAATAAAAGGAGGAAAGATAGTGTTTTCTAAAATTAGCAAGTTCTTGAGAGAACTTGGAATCAAAGTTGGAGGTTTATTGAATACACCTGTTAATGAAGTCTATCTCTGCCAAAAACTACCAGTTTTACAAACTGAAAATAAGATATCCTACCAAATTCAGAAATTTTTATAGCTTGTTCACCTACAATTAGAATATTTCACTAAATAGATGTGCTGCTTATAGATGTTGATAAAAAGAAGTAATATAAAATGAATTGTGTGTTTCCATCAATTTAATTGAAATTAAATATCAGACTCATAGCAACCCATCCTTGGGTTTCTGAGGTGATATCACTATGGAAGTAGATTGCCCAATCCTCCTTCCAAGGAGTGGCTGGTGGATTTGAACCGCCAGCCTTCTGGTTAGCAGTCAAATACCTTAGGCACTACGCCACCAGAGCTCCTATAAAATTAAGTGTGTGTTTCCATTAATTTAATTGAAATTAAATATATCCCAGACAAAAATAGTATTTCTAACACAAACAACACTCGATCTAATAGGTGTTGGATATATGAAGTATATCTCTATGAAACACACAAACAAGAAAAAAATCCTATTCATGAAAATCTGTTTGGAAATTCTCTCAAGATAATAAAAGAGCAGAAACAGAATTACGTATACTAAATGCCATGATAACTTGGATGCTATCCCTAGCTCTGAAGTTTATTTCACAGGGATAAAATGGTCAGTATCTGAGGAAGAGTTAACAAAGCTTAATGGTTAGAACTAATAAGTATCATCAGCATATGTAAAGCAAATTTGATGCAAATAAAAGAAAAATTTAAGAAAGCCACAATAATAGTTCATGGCAGTAATACACCTCTCTTAACAACTGATAGAATATAAGGACAAAAATTCAGAGAAGGTAAGACAGCTGGTACAAAATGCCTAAAATAATTGATATAAATAATAAGTATAGAGCACAGTATCCAACATGGGCAGAAAAATACATTAAAAATTGCTGAAATGGCAAAGGTTTTTTATGTATATTTTAACACAAATGTTTTCCAAATGGATACGAAACACTTACCAAAATTAATCATATGTTGGACCATAAAAAGGAAGTCGCAATATAATTCTATTTTAAAAAGAAAAACAGCATTTCCCACTTCTGGCCACAATGGTGAAATAAGTACTGAATTGTAAATATCTATAAAACTAAATAAAATAGGAGGCCATTGTTTTCAGGCATTGGACAACAGTCAGAAGTCAAACTCTTTAGAAAAACCAAAATCATGAAATTAGTTCCGCAATCATTCTGAGACTCTGGATAAGGAAACTTTCCAGTGAACTATAGACCAAAGAGCTCTGGTAGCTTAGTGCCTAAGGCACTGGACTGCTAACCAGAAGGCTGGCAGTTCAAACCCACCAGCCACTCCTCGGAAGGAAGATGGGGCAAATCTACTTCCGTAGTGATACTGCCTCGGAAACCCAAGGAGGGGGTCGCTATGAGTCAGGGCCAACTCGACGGCACATAACAACAACAACAACATAGACCAAAGAGAGCATAGTGGAGTGGAGATCAGTATTTATTCTGCTGAAGCAGCTGAAATTGAAATATGCTAAGCAAAGTATTGAAGTGTATAAGATAAACCAAGACTCAAAAATTCTATGTAAGAATTCTCTGCTTCTACTTGGCAAGGATAGGACTGCATATGCACGTGGCAACTATAAACAGGTTATAAGAAGTTGCTAGCTCTGGTAGGGCAGTGTCTAAGGTACTTGACTGCTAACCAGAAGGCTGGTGGTTCAAACCCACCAGCCACTGCTCCTTGGAAGGAAGGTTGGGCAATCTACTTCCGTAGTGATATTGCCTTGGAAACCCAAGGAGGGGTCGCTATGAGTCAGGTATGACTCGACGGTACATAACAACAACAACATTGCATTAAAAGAGAAACTACCCAGGCACAAATCTGAGGCAGGGAAATGGTCCACCTTTTAAGGGTAAATTCCATGTATTGGATCAGGAGTTAGAAAATTGATTCTGAAAAAGCCAAACAGTAAATTGTGTAGGTTTTGTGGACCATGAGACTAAATGAAAGATGTTTTAAATATACTTAAATAAAAAGACAAATTTTTGGAAAATTTTAGAGATAGCATTCAAAATATATTAGGAATTGAGTAAGAGTAGTAAATGCATGTCTACTAATAAGAAGAATATGAGTACTTTACTTAATTAGGATTCAAAGTTGCTGTGCCTGAATATCAAAATAGGTTGCAAATGTTAATCTTTTGAAATCATAAGGTCAGAAATTAATATTAGTTTTGGTAGTCCTTATTTATAAGAAAACACATTTTGGAAGATGAAATACTTGTCATCTCATTATATTACATGTTTCAAAACATGTTTTCATACAAACAACTGCTTCAAATACTGGTATCAATCCATAAATATGGATATGAAAGAGATAGATAGAAAAAAATCCTTATTACTGATTATAAAAGGTGGAAGAGAGGGAGAAGAGGAAGCTATTGCATAGAAGGCACAGAGTTTTTGTTAATGGTGTTGGAATAATTCAGAAAATGATAGTGGTAATGGATACACAACATAAAGAAAGTACTCAATGTCACAGATGATACATGTAAAAATTATTGAATTTGCAGATGTTTTGTTATGTATATTTTAACACAACTTTTTTTTTAAAGAGACAAAAAACAGCATATAAAGTCCATTGTTCACACCATTGGTTAATTAACACATGGTAGTTTCAAATATTTTCCACAAAATACCTGCTGGTGCATAGTATCATTACTAACCATAGACTTTACATTTTCAAAAGTTTGCTTAATTTTCCAACAAAGCCACTTTCTAATATACACATATTTTTACGACCATCACTTGGAACACATATTAGAATATCTCACTTTAGGTTGCACTAAATTAATGTCTTCTCAATTTCTTAAAAATATCTTCACCTGAAGTTAATGCATGCAGACTATTCATGTTGTTGCTGTTAGATATCTTCAAGCCAATTTTGATAATAATAATCCTATGTATGACAAAATATAACAATCCCCAGTCCTGTGCCATCCTCATTTAAGCCCATTTTCGCAGCCAGTATGTCAATTCATATAAGTAAGGGTCTTCCACATTTTTGCGACCTTCTACTTTATCAAGTATGATATTCTTCTCCATGTACCAGTACCTCCTGATACAATGCCCAAAGTATATAAGACTAAATCTTGCCATCTGTGATAGTTGAAGATGTGTCAACTTGGCTGGACTCCAGTTGTGAGTGGTGGTTCCCATCATGGATCACATGACTGAGTTCTGAGCGGCCGGTCTGCCCAAGGGGAGTTTCCCCAGGGGTGTGGCCTACCTACAATGCTATCCCA